AACACTCTGCAGAAGTGTCAAAGCAGCCTGTACTCGAACCCATACCTCCCAATGTTAAATACAGGGGCCTTCTCACTTGTCTATGAAAAGTAGATGAAGAAAGGTCTTCTAATAACTAAGGTTCTAGTCCTCACTCTCTTCTGAGAAACATGCATGCTTTCACATCTGTCTACGGCCACAGCAAAAGTAGCCCTGTTGTACCATCTTCCTAATAGGCCTCTATCTCCCCTTCCCCCGCCCCAGAGCCACAAATGTTCCTTTTTTCACAGGATCCAATTCCTATGGAAAGACCATATGAAGAGGGAGGAAATGACATATTCCCTCACATATTTAGGACATACTAAAGTGTGATTTTTTTCCCTTTATTACATATGCAAACATTTTATTACAGGTGTACATTTCTGTTTGGGTTATCTTACCTGTTTAAGGTGGAATTCATCTAAGAATAAATACAAGGGGACTGGGTTCTAGTCCTGATTGCTCTATGACCTTGGATAAGTTGTCTACCCTTTATGGACTTCAGTTTTCCCAGCAAGAAGATGAGTTGGACTAGGTGATCTCTTCCCTCCAGCTCTAACATTCTATTATTCTGTGATATCTCTTTTAGATGTGATGGGCATATTTGGTATGCAACTGTTGGTTGTTAAGTATTTGTTGAAGGAATGATAACTGCAGTTTAAATATTTTGAGGAAGGCTACTGGGATCAAACACAGCCAAGCACATTGTCAAAAGCACTTGGCTCTATTCCACCACTTTTGCTGCAGGGATTTGGAAGAATAACTAAAATGTATGTGTCAACACCCTCTACGTGCTTCTTTCAAATATTAAAAATTGCAACAAACATTTTTACTTAGTTTGTAGCTCTAAAAATTACTGATCTCCATTTTGCTCTATAATAATCTAATTTATTTATTGTATAATTATGGTAAACAATAGTTTATGGGTGAATTCCCTTGGAAACTAAAGATTACCACATGTGAGCATGTAAGTTATTTTCACATAAAATATTTTCAGCAGAAGGTATTAAAAAACAACTATTATACAGTCTTCTGCTTCTTTAACCAGGGTACATTACCTCTTCTTGATCACCTATAATTCCATCAATTAGCCAGTTATTAAACTGTGTTAGACTAGATTCTGGTCACTACAGTGATACTCAAAGGACCTACTGGAGTGCAGCCTGCTGTGTTAAATAACCCAAAGCAAATAGAAGACCCTTGTCTACTTATATTTCCTCTTGCCTGCTTTTGTATCTCACGATTTTATGTGAATCAAGTGGGCTCTAATCTGCTTCTATATTTTAGGTAAATAGCTTGAGAATGGCTTCATCTTCTCAAGTAAGCTAAACTACAGGCTCTGTGACACCTGTTTTTTAATCAGAAGCTGTTTCCATTTATTTCTGGACTCATGGCTATGTTCCTTATGGTGGTGTTGCTGGAAATCTGATTTATAGATAAGTGGAATTTTCCTCTACTACCTTATCAAATAATCAAATGAAATACCATATGTAAAGGAGATCTAACAATTATAAAGGAATACAAAACAGCGATCAGATCATTATTTCTGCTACAACTACTATGATTTCAAACTTATCAGAAAAATGACTTCTAAAACTTCCCTTTTATTTGACAAAATAATCACTGAATATACTTGAATTTTCTTAATATAAGAATACGTGAAACGTACATTTCTACTATGGAAGATGTGCACATATAGATGAATACAATAAATCTTGAGGCACTTAAACAATTTGAATATTCTAAAACAAGAGGCCTGGTGCACGACATTTGTGTACTGGGGGGGGGGCAGTCCCTCAGCCCAGCTTGCGCCCTCTCACAGTCTGAAACCCCTCCGGGGATGTCCGACTCCCATGGAGGCCGGAGAGGCTCCCGCCCCCTCCACTGTGCTTGCCAGCTGTGAGCCCTGGTTCTGGTTGAGTGGCGCTCCCCCTGGGGGATCGCACTGACCACCAGGGGGCAGCTCCTGCATTGATCATCTGCCCCCTGGTGGTCAGTGTGTGTCATAGTGACTGGCCGTTCCGCTGTTCGGTCGATTTGCATATTAGCTTTTTATTATATAGGATATTTAATACTATGTCGCTTGTATTTTAACAGGAGAATGACAATCTCTTCTTATGTGAATTTTAATATATTCAATGGAATCATTTGAGTTTTGGAATCATCTCATATTTAAGCCATAAAACAAATGACGTGCTCTTTCCCATTGTTTACAACAAATGCTCTTATGCCTACATTCAGACTTAGGGAGAAAACCTCTCCTCTCCCATCCAAGTGTTTCTGCACAATGGGCAATCTGCCTTCACTTCAGGCCCATTGATGCTGCCAGTTGATAGAATCCTTCAGACACAAGGGAAATCTCCCTGTGTCCTGCTGATCCAATGAGGGATCCGTGAAGTTGATAACACTAACACTGCAATCAGTTAGCTAGACAGCATTCCAAGAGCAACTGTCTACAATCCAAAACTTTTATAATTAAAAAAAATTACAGGAAATTTTAGGATTTCTTTGGTTGTCTAACATTTATTTCATGAGAAAGTAAAAACTAAAGTTGGCACAATTTATTAGTATTACTAAAAATTTTACATCATTTCTTAAATACATCCACATTCTATCTAATTCTAAAAAACATTTACTACTATACTGTGATTGTAGAGTTTATATGACTTGTTAAACTTCACATCTCTGGAACCTTTTAATTAAGAGACCTTTGTTAAATCTTAGGTCTTGCTTCCCTAACCCAGGCTTTTAAAATAAAGAATGTATCTTAAAGGCTTCCATTTCCATGAAAATTTGCTTGGTAGGATTTATTTGCAGTTATATCACAGGAAGAAATAGGCTTCTGCTGTCTTAGGTGCAGTTCATTAAGCTTTTTTCATATTTAAGTTTAAGCATGTGTTATTTTTGAATCAAACTTTTTTTTCTTGATGCACCATCACCTCCACTGTGTAGTGCTGCTATAAATGAGTGCAGAGACCTCATAAATTGAAAGCTATAAATATTGCCATAACAGGTGAAAAAAAATCATAACCCAAGACAATAACACTTTGTTACAATTCACACAAACTCTATCTCCAAACACATTATGTGCTAGTGTTCTATGATTTATTTTATTATTTTTTCCAGAGCCCTTCTTAATATCTTTCGTGAACTATACCTCAAAAAATAAGGATCAGCAACTTAAAAAATATGGTTGAGAATCTGTGAATTAAAAATCTAAATCCCTTGAGATATCTTTACATCATATCCAATCTTGTCCTGACTCTTCAGTTTGGGACACTTGCACTAGAAACTATGACTGTGTTAAAACCACTTTACCTCTAGTCTCTTCCCATTACATATTTCTAGCCTAAAACCAAAAAGTCATCTCTCCAGAAAAAAATCTGAAAGTTTCATTGTTTTGTTTCAAAGCCTTATACAACTTCAAAGCTATATTCTGTACAAAGAACAAACTTAACTTCATATACAACTAAATCCTTTAATCTCAGATCCAAACTACTTTTTAAATCTCGTTTCCCACTAAACTACTCAACCTTCTCAATTCTTCTTCTGCAATGCCAACCTCACCAAATCAGAGCATTTACCAAAGACATCGTGAACTTTGCCTCTTTATACTTTGCTTACATTATTCCCTCTGCCTGAATGTTCCTCTCTTTCTGATTCCTCTAAATCCCCACTCAAATAGCACTTTCTCTATGAAATTTCCTAGTTCTCCCTCTCCAATAATTTGATAAAAATTCCTCTGTATTCCAATAGGTCCTTGATCAAAGCTTTATTTTAGTACTTCTCATACTGCATTACTTAAAAAACAAAATAAAACAAAACAAACACAAAAAAACCACACCCAAACATGTGCTTTCCCATCTGATTTCTTAACTCCTCAAAGGTAAGGCTGTGACTTCTCTCTGAATTCAACTAGTACTTGCTGACAAAATAGAAAAGGGAATCCTGTGTGATATATTCTTTCTCCAGCAATGACTTAGAGCTAATACTTCTGATGGCTAAGGGACTAATCATTGATCAATGGATTAGGCAGAATGATGCAGATTATCTGGTTACCTATGTGTAGACTTTCTTTCTGCTACCTAATTCTGCATTCTCAATGGAAAAGATAAATTATAACTACTGCCACAGCTGTACTACACTGTAAGGGGGGGGGGGGAGAGGGGGAGAGGGAGTGATAGAGATATCTTTCATTTTATTTACTACAAACTGTAATATAAGCCAAATGAGACTAGAAGGCCCTCAGCTATATAACAGCATCATGGGCTTATGTAAATCATTTGATCTGAGACTTAATTGAAAAATAGGACTATTAATGCTTTGATTGTCACAAGGCTGTGTGGCCAGACTAGACTGAGGTATCTTCAATTCTAAGATCTATGGTTCCATCCATCCATCCATCCATCCATCCATCCATCCATCCTTCCTTCCTTCCTTCCATCCATACATCCATCCATCCATACATCCACCCAACCACCCAACCACCCAGCCATCCACGAATGCTTGAGCTTTCTTACAGCTCTAATACCTACAATTCTACATCTATGAAAGTTGGATTCAAATAAAATGTAAGAAATCCCAAACATTCTGAAAGAATTTATACTGTGTCAAAAAGAATGGCTCAAGGGATGTATAGAATTGCAGGTAACAATCTCATGAATGTGAAGCGCATTTCTCCAGCTGGCATTTGCTTGGGTGTGCTCTTTACGCTTGTGTTTAGTTTCCCTGTCTCGATAGCTTGGGATGTCACATTTAACTTAAAAGGGGCCAAACAGGCTGACTGATAAGTAATTTTGAAAGATTTGGAAAATAGGCAGGATGAATAAAATTCTAAATCATATATGAGAACTGTCTGTCGTGAAAGTATGCCAACAATAGTGACATTCTTTCACACTTATGTATTTGTTCAGAAAAAAAGGAGACCAAACATCTAAAGAAACACATAGCTTTGACATGTCAATGACAATTGCAGAGTCTACCTTTGTTTCTGTTGCATGGGTTGTTGCCTCATAGCCATATACTGCATATCTTCTTGCAGACGATTGAGAGGGGAATCTGGCTTGACACGAATCCCATAGTAATGGTACTTGGAGTTTCCTCTTCATAAAAGAACAACAAACATTAGAGACACAAAAAGTCAGTCAAACCTGTATTAATCATATAATATAGGATGTCCATATAACTTCTCATTTGGAAAAAAAATATAAAAGCAGCATATTAATGTTATATATTTGTGATATGGTCTAGATACTTATATATTTTGATGGTGAATACATTTGAGGAATCAAAATAAGATTCTAAATCCACTGGCTCAAGGCCCTTAAAAAAAGTCCTTATAAACTTTCTCTTAAATATTGTTAAATAATCCACTTATTCCATTTAAGCTACATTTTATTTTAAAATTTATGTTTTAAATTTAATTTAGAAAGGGTAATAGTGAGAAAAAATTCTGGCCAACAAAAATTTATTAACAGGATAAAGGATTGAGCACTAAAGAATAATTTATAATAAAAAGTTTATACAGAACCAACAGAAAAAAATCTTAATTCTACCTTTCTTAGGTAAGTTCTACATTTTTCAAGTTCTATTACTGCAGGGATGATGAAGATAACTTCACTGATGCAAGATGTTGTGGAGAAGTCTATTATATTTAATATTTTGAAACCTAAAAAGAAGCATGCATTTACTCATTTTGAAACATTTTATTAGTCTCTGTTTTTATGGGTTTATATTAGTTTTGCAGGCTGAATAAGATGTGTCACAACAGACATGGGGAAATTTCTCTGTGAAAATGTTAAATTTCCACCTGGAATAAAAATGTCACCATTACCCATGCTCAGGAGCAAGACCATATTTGTTATTAGAAATGACAAAGTTTAGCCCTGAATGAAATGTGAAATTCTTGCAAATATAACATTTTAAATATGTGAATTTTTACAAAGAGAGAATAGTTTTTCATAACCCTATATATAGCAAGACATCAGTACTCTTTCAATTTTTTTCTTTCATTTATAACAAGAAATGCAAGGGGAGTGGATTAAATATTTTATATAAAAACAGCACAATGTACAGTTGATTTATTATAGAATTGTACACCTGAAATCTATATAATCTTTTTAACCAATCTCACCTCAATGAATTCAATTAAAAAATAAAATAGGAAAATAAATAAATAAAAGTTGTGGGAGAATTTCAACATGAATATCAATGGATATCATTGAATTATGGTTACTTAAGTTCAACAATGATAACCAAACAAAACAGAATTTTACTTCCAAAATTAAAGAACATATATTAGATGAACCTTAAATATATGAAAACACATTAAAATTTTGTTATAAATAATATTGCTAGCTTTAAAAAAATGTAGGGCAGCCCTAACTGGTTTGGCTCAGTGGACAGAGCATTGGCCTGCGGACTGAAGGGTCCCGGTTCGATTCCGGTCAAGGGCATGTACCTTGGTTGCTGGCACATCCCTAGTAGGAGGTGTGCAGGAGGCAGCTGGTCGATGTTTCTCTCTCATCGATGTTTCTAACTCTCTATCCCTCTCCCTTCCTCTCTGTAAAAAATCAGTAAAATATATTTTTAAAAAATGTAGGGCATCTGAGTACCTATAAAGTTCCTGCAAAATGAACCAGTGTGAAAACCTAATGCCTCTATAAAAAGCTTTCCACTAGCAGAGATTATATTATGTCTCCAAAATCCACTACAGAATAGAGCAAAAAACAAAACCAAAAAATACAAACCCCATTAGTAGCGTTCTCTGTAGGAAGTGGAGAATGACAAGGAGGCGTGGCAGGGTGAGAAGCAGCAGACATTAACCAGGGGACACAGCCAATGACAGGGCTACAGTGTGAAATGGTGTCTCTCTTGTGAGACCACAAAGCAGACGATGTGTCCAGTTTCTTACAAATCAGCATTTGTTTGGGTTGGGGCAGGGGAGGTGGTTCTTTCCTTTCCACTGGCCATGGGGCAGGTCAGCATGTCCCATGGTCTTGGATTAAACTTAATTTGTAAATGGGGTCTACAAATGGCACTTTTTCAGTTGACTTGGTTTAGAAACATGGCGATTTCATTTACTTCTTAGCTAGTTCTAAAACTTGAGAAAATGTCTGGTTCTGGTTTGAATGAATTCACCAGTTAATTTTATTGCTGGTTAAATGAAAGTTCAACATACAGTTTGCTTTAAAAAATTATCTGAGTTAATTTGTGTCATGATTTATATGGATTTTCTTTCTGTTCTCTGGTTTAGAGGTAGAAAGGAGAGCTAATTCAGTTTCCATGGTAGAAAGACTCAGTACTGTGACTCCTACCATTGTCAGTTTTTCTATACGAGAGCTCTGCTATCTTCATAACACAGCATTTGTTTAAACTTTCCTCACAGGATTTCTTTTCTCCTTATTCTTCTGGGCTGTGCTTTCCATCCTTAATTATAAATACTATATAACAATTTTAAAAGGAACAGAAGACATAATTGTTACACAGTGAGAAGAGGGAAAAAAGAATACCAGAAAGTAAATGCTGCAATATTGCAATATGCACTTATAGAGTATGGATTCTACTCATTCACAAACCCAAACAACCCTAATTTTGTCACTTTCTATTTTAAAGATGTGTTTTAAGATTTGAATGGAGCTTCAAAATAGGATCCATTGAAATCCCTTTCAGTAACAAAAGAAGCACAATAGAGCTTTAGAATGTTGAATAAAGCCCAGAGTTTCAAAATATTGGCACAGTATGCTTAACTACTGAGCCATTAGCTAGAAGATAAGAGGTTAGGTCCCAAACAATGATTTCTGGGGGGGAAATAATACTCAAGAAACAAAAAGCTTTTTTTCAAGGGACTGAAAACCAGTATACCTAGAAGAAAATACACTTATGAGAAAAACAAACCTCCAGCTATCCGAAAGCAACCGAAATAGTTCACTTGAAATGCAACAGAAAGAAATGATTCACACTTTGAATACATATAGAACTTATAAATCTAATAAAATTGACACACCACTCTTTTCAGCATAAATTTATAAGGTCAATTACTAAGGCTCTATTTACTTTATGAAGAATATTAATAAAAACCCTTTATTAGGATACTATGAAACTGTGACTTGAAACTAATTAAAGGTAGATCATCTAATGTTATATAGTGTAGCACCTTTATTTTTATACTATTTTACTATTTAATATGGATTTCTGTAAGAATTAGGAAATAAAAAAAATCCATATCTTTCTGCCCAGCTACTGGAAATATTTGTGTTAATACAGAAAAGTAAAAATGACCCTGTTTGAGGAAAGTATCTAGGAAGTAGTTTGGAGAAAGGGTTTAAGATATGAAATAACCATTCTGCGTCTAGACTTTTGCAATGCACTGTTCAGCCACCAGCCAGGTTTCCTGCCTGTGATCCACCATCAATTGTCACCAGCCAAAGATTTAACCTGTCTTGTTGCTATTTCTCCTGGTACAGGCAAGTCAAGGAGCAATTGCTGACAGCAACCAAGGAAACTCAGTACAGTCCTGAACGGGTTTTTCCAACAATTGCAACTAGGTTATCAGTCCCTGGTTGCACTGGGCAGCCCCTAAATGTGAGTTGCTTACTGTATAACCTCACCCTTACAGGTCTGCATCTCAAAACTCTGGACATAGAGTCCAGTAGTATTTAATGGTCCTATAAAAAGTCCAATAAAATTTACAATTTGTGCCATGCAAAAAAAAAAGTAAAAATGAAGCTCCACAGTTCTAAGTATTATTTCTATCATATTTTGACAAGGAAGCAAACTGAAAAACTAAGAGTCTTCTTCACATTTTTGGCTTCCATGCAATAAAACTAAACTATATTTTTATTCCCATACATGTATGGTTTCATAATCAAGAGTTTAAAAAGGCTAAAATGAGATTAATTAGGACCATGTCATTATTCAGGGCTTAAAACACCCATATTTTTCAAGTTCACCAAATGATTTTTAATTGCTCTCCAGAAATGACATGAGAAAAACTCAGCTTGAATTTCTTACTCCAGACATTTCAATGTAATTTTTCAAGAGTCAAGAGATAGACAGTTTTCCATTTAATATGTTACTTTACTCATCATCTTTAGTATGGTTATGTCCCAAAAGAGAAGACAGTGATACATATTAACTTTTAAAGGATCACATGTGAATCTTGCATTAACAGGCTTGTTTGCCACTTCCTATGTGATTGGAGAACCAGCTCTCCTCAAAGCTTTGCTCAGTTGATGTTTAGGAGGATGCCTCAGTGGTTGGGTAGTATTTATTGAGTAATGACCTTTCTTTTCCCTGTGGGGGTTTATATACTGAGGTCATTCTGTATTTCTTCTTTATATGTTGGTATCTGTAATCAAGTACTTTTGCTCAAACAATATGCTGAACGACTGTAATTTGAAAAAGAGAGGTTAATTTATGATCTTACTTTTCAATACTAACCTAGTTCCCAATCTCCTGGTTCGTAGTCCCATAAAAATGGACCTTATTAATTTTCCAAAAGAAGCAGCATTGACTGGGTCCAGTTTGTGTTCCTGACAGTGTCGCAGGTAGTGGTTGTATAGAGTGCTTCTGGGAAGGCTCACTCCTTCTGCTGTCTCGTAATTGTCCAACAGCCACTGGAGCTGGTGTAAACAAGACAGAGTCAACACGGAGAAACCAGACGATTAACAGGAAGGTCACAAGATAAAATACAACATCTGAAAGTGCAACATACAGAAATACTTGGATCGCCATCAAGCCTTGTAACAGGGTAAACTGTTGTAATTCAGAGGCCAGTGTGGTCTGACTTTGAAAACTCTCAGAAATGTAAATAGCTGTACATCCCTATGACCGCAGGCCATCTCCATTCCTACAAACATTCAAACACATGTAGAGAGAAAATATTCTTTTCTGTATTGCTATTTTGGAGACAAACACCTCTTCAGGGAATTCTAATAATTCCATTAACTGGTCTAAAAAATAATTTATAATTGTTATAAAACAAAATATGTTCCAAACCTAGCAGTATTGCACATATGTTGTTAGAGTTGGCTTGTTATAACACATGAACAGCAGGCTTCCTTGTATGAGTTTTATATTAAGGTTCTAGTCATTTAATACAATTCTAATTACTTATTTAATTTACTTACACAAGGTAATACAATAATGGCATTAACTACTGAGATAGAATTCTGTAATCAAAAAGGAAAAAAAGTCAGTCATTTCTTCCCGAGAAGGTAAGAAACTCACTAGATTTTGGCTAAAAAGTTACATGTAAAGAAAAGGAATAATTAAAATTTTTCTACCTTAAAACTATGTTGCTTTTTCATAATTTTGGAAATTTTCATAATGTAGTTGGTAAAGCATTATTTTCTCAACCAGGGTCCTTATTTTAAAGTTTTATGTTGCTCTGTGTATATTTTTTTAAAAAAAAATCTTTAAAGTATAGAATGAGCAAGAAAATTTTAGAAAAGCTAATTAGGTATGCATTATTGAGTTTTAATATTAGAAAAATTAAAATATTAATTTGTTCATTTATTTATTTACAAAAGGAGAACTAAAATAGATTTAAATGACTTTCTTAAAGTCATATATTATCTCAGTACTTGAGTCTGGTTTCCAACATTTCCTGAGCACTAACATACCAGTTATTATTTCCACAACGGCAGCAAATATTTCACACTACTTGTCTCATCAAAATTTCCACGCCAATTGTAAGAGGTATGCTAAAGAGTTGATATTTTACATGCAATTCAATGGAATATTTCTGTACACAGCCTTAACTATTTAGTAGTTTTCTTTTAATATTAATTACATGACAGTAAAGATAAATATCTAAAAATGAGAGTTTACTAATTTATCATGATCAATAAAATGATCTTGTAGACAAATTTTTTTAAAGAATTTGAAAAAGCAAATTCAATAAAATATTTGAGGGTTTTATCAAAAATTGTCTCTTATAAAAGTAAAATATAGTACAAAAATTAAAGTTCAATATACAATATTTTGAGTCTAAAGGTATGTTAAAAGAGTTAGACCATTTTTAAATGAAGAAAAATTTTCACAGAAGGAGTGTGATAATTACAGCAAAAGTTGACTTTAAAATACTCAGAAGTCTAAATGATATTAGTCACATTCAATGAATAATTTAGAGAAAATAAAGCTTTTATTGGATTGGCTATGTGGTTCTCCGCAATGTCTAAACAAGTCAAATATAGTGAACTGTTCTGCAAACTGATGTTCTTTTTATAAGGCTTTACATTTTTAGAGATTCTTCATTTCTAAACCCATTTTCTTAAAATCCAAATTTATTTGTAATACATATGAGTGTGTGTGCATACACATAAACATGTGTACATATACTTATATATGTGTATAATATGTGTGATTAGTTGGTTGAAAAATTCCCCAAGGGTGGGTCCTCTGGCACCTGTAATTTTGGCAGCAAAGCTGCATCTTACTCCCCTGCCCCTTGTCTGCAGGAGGAGGAACTTTAGTCCCTGCCAGAGGCCTAGACTCACTTTGGAAAAGCAGAAGGAAGTCAAGTGGAAGTAAAAGCCCTGAAGGATGGTGGTGGCTGTGCTGCGCCATGGCTGCTCCAGCGAGGAAGCCAGCCAATGGCTGTACCACCTCGGGGCAGTGCCCCTGCAAACTCACTGTGTACCTGGAGACTGGTTTAGGTCCCACCAGATAACTCTTGAGATTTATCTGGGAATTATAATCTGTGTTCTACATGCCGATATTTAACCTTCAAGTTTTGAAAGTAATAAAACTGTAAATCAGACATTTGAGTCTAAAACATAGTATAAGGAAGGATTAATTTTATTGTAAGAGAAACCTGGCAGTTAAGTATAACACAAAGGCAAACACTTCATGCACTGCCCAAGGATAATTTGATACCTGCTATAAGATATATTTCTTCCTTGGGTATTGTGTTTAATAAAATGTATTTTGACACTAACGTTCAATATCTTTAACATTAAATAATTTAGAACTAAACTATTACTATTTCTTTTATTCTTTTTATAAGGTGTTTTATAAAATATTTATTTACACTTGTGCTTTTAAAAACCCATAAAATACCATAGAAACTTTTAACCTTTATCTTTAAAAGCTGATTATCCTACTAATGAACTAACATAAATTCCTGTAAGGGTGGAAACCAAGATAATTGCATCTTTCAACCTTTACATTTAACCTATATTAATCAGGGTAGATTAAGGAAGGTGAATAGGTCCTATTTTTCCCAAAGGCAAATACTGATTGACAAATTAAAAAAATACATCTTGCATTCTCCAATTAACATCTAAATGTAACATTTAGCATTACCCCCCCCCCCCGATGAATTCTTATACATTAGGATTCATTTTAAGTTCAGTTTACCGATGATATATATTTTACAAGTCTTATTCCTACCATAACTTAGATTCACAGTACAGCAAAGTCAAGGGTGAGTGAGAATAAAATAAAGTTTTGCTTTGATCTCAATATATTTCAGTAGCTAAAACCAGTAAAAGTCATGAAATAATTATTTGCTAGATTGTGAAAAGTGTATAAAAATTAATGTCTAAAGTTTTTTATGTACTTTAAATGGAATTTTTAAAAAATGCACATGCTAAAGAACATTATGTGAAAATTGGGAACAATTAACTTAAGAACATTTCTACATTCAAATTTATAATCTGAAATATCACAAATTGAATACAATCTAAACCATTAAAGGCCAATTTATATTAATTACAACAGAGAAGGAGTATAAATAAAGTTTTCAATGAAGAGAATTAGAATATTCTAATTTGATTTAGACAGACTATGCATCATTTACTTGTAACATCTTCTCATACAAAAAATTTAGAAATAAAAACATTCAAATAAAAAATTTTATACTAACAGACTGATGTAAAAAATGAAATTAAAAGTACTATTCTAAAAACATGGAGATAAATGATATCACCCTTGGCTTTGATTTTCCGAAGGATTAGATTGTTTGGAAAAGAAGCAGTGATCTACTTTTAATCTGATGGTGGCACAAGGGGAAATGATAGAGTGACCATATATTCTTTCACTCAAATGGTGAGCAGGGAGAAGACCTCTCTCTACCAACAATATTCACACATACACCCAATGAAGCATACTGGAAAACAAAACAATCTATATAATAAAAGCCTAAGCAACCATTAAGGCAGAACAACCAGAACAACCAGTCGCTCTGATGTGCACTGACCACCAGGGGGCAGATGCTTAATGCAGGAGCTGCCCCCTAGTGGTCAGTGCACTCCCACAGAGGGAGCGCTGCTCAGCCAGAAGCCGGGCTTGCTGCTGGTGAGTGCAGCAGCGGTGGTGGGAGCCTCTCCCGCCTCTGCTGCAGCGCTAAGGAGCAGCGAGCTGCGTGGTAAGGAGCAGCAAGCAGGCAGGTGGTAAGGAACGAGGGATCCCAGATTGCAAGAGGGATGTCCGACTGCTGGCTTAGGCCCGACCCACACAGGCGGGGCTGAAGGACCCCTCCCCGACCCCAGGGGACGAATTTTGTGCACTAAGCCTCTAGTGCATATATAAGTTCCCAAATAAATGTACACTTGATTGGTAAAGGTACTCAGAATACTGGAGGTAAAATAAGGCCTGTTCCCTTCTACTACTTGTTTCTTACATTCATTCATTTAGCAAATACTTAATGAGCATCTACTATGTACCAGGCACTGTTCTAGACACCAGGGATGCATCAGTGGACAAAACATATAAAATCCTTACACTCTTGGAATTTTCACTTATCAATACATACTTTCTGTTTGTCTATAAGATGCTACTAGTGAAATAAATGTAACTATGCTATTATTGTTAATAGAATAAAACATGGCATTTGGTATAACTGTACTGTCACAGGTGGGACATCATAAAGAGTATAAAACAGACAAGTCAGACATGCATTTCAACTTGGATAATAACAACATAATTATAAAAGTAGAGCAGCATGCCCTAACCAGTTTGGCTCAGTGGATAGAGCGTCAGCCTGTGGACTGAAAGGTCCCAGGTTCAATTCTGGTCAAGGCATGTACCTTGGTTGTGGGCACATCCCCAGTAGGAGGTGTGCAGGAGGCAGCTGATCGATGTTTCTCTCCCATCGATATTTCTAACTCTCTATCCCTCTCCCTTCCTCTCTGTAAAAAATCAATAAAATAAATATATATTTAAAAAAAAGTAGAGCTGCGGTACCCAAGACTCTCCAGGATATGCTGAAAAAGGGATACAAAATTGAATACCCCACTCCATCGTCTCATGTGCAGAAAGATGAAAATCAAAGCAATCAAGTTGGATTTTTCTGAGAGCATTATTTCTGATTTAACCCTAATAGAAATTTTCTGAATTAGTATGAGTAATCAAGTGCATGAACAGAAAATAGGAAATCTGTTCAGGTCCATATTCCAAAATATAATGACGACAAATTTTGAGCTAAGAAATCATGATTAAGATCCTTCTTTAGAAACTGATAAATATGGGGCACAAATTATCAATAACTTCTTTTAAACTTTTTGTCTAATGAATTGACCCTTTGTAGAAACTGATCAATCAAAGAACTATTACCATAAAGATGAATTCTTGTCTTCTTCAAAGAATCCCACAAACTTCAAATAATTCCATATCAGTCTTGTGCAGTGAGACAACCAATAGATTCTATTAACAATATTTCATTTTTAAAATACCTCTCTACTAAAATTTTTCTACACAACTGAAAATCACCAATTAGGTTAACAGAATTTAAAATACCCTTAGCCGGTGGTTTTCAAGTAGAATGAATGCAGTAGTTTACTCTAGTTGTTAGATAAATCTAACAAGAATTAGGAGCATTACTAACTTCCTAAGAACAGAAAGACAACAGGGTCTTCTGGGCTCAGGGAGAAAGGAAACCTGACTGGTCAGAACACTGATCCTTTCTCTGCTCTTTACAGACCATTTGTAGAATCATTTGATTGTTAAAGACTTATCTATAAACGTGCTTTTAAATGAATGTAACTGTACCTCAGAAGTGTAATAAAATGAATCAGGACATCAAGAGAAAGATTATTACTGCATTAGCAACATTTACGCCCACTCTTTCTACATACTGAAATGACTCTGGCAGCTGTAAACAATATGGAAGATATGTCATGCTATGTAATAAAAAGAATGAAGCCAAAGCATAAGAAACAGTTAACTGTTGTTTATGCAGCTTAATTCACACGTTCATTAACTCTAAATATTACTTCACAGATTCTAGAAGAATATAATAATTTCAAAAAAACCCCAACCTCTTTGAAAAGTTTCTAACAAATCAACGAATAAAATTATACAAAAATTCTTATGCCCACATTATTGTTCATGAAAATACTAAGATGAATAATTCAAGTTAAAATTAAACATCTAATTTACTAAACAATATACCTGAAATGAAAATGAAATGCGAATTGAATATCAAAGCACTACTTAGATTTCTAGACTTTCAAAAAAGATAACTGGAAACATCAGTGGTTTTTTTCCTTGAGTCCCTGGATATTTTGACTAAAAGTGAACAACAGTTTCATGTGCCATTTTCAAACCACAAACACCAGTTAGTCACCACCACCCCCAAAAACATATAACCTAATGACACAATAAATTAGTCTTTACCCACAGCCACAGACTCATGCTAACACAAAAAGGATATACTTAAGAAACCTATAAAAGAATGAAACATTGCATACAAATTTTCAGAAAAGGAAAAAAATTATATTCCTTAAAGTGTTTAAAAAAGAAGGGTCAAAAGTATGTTATATTAAAAGTTATATCTAAAATTTTCACCAAAAATTGCAGGCATTCTCCAAGTTGGCTAACCTGTTTTTATTTGCCATGATACTTCCTCTTGAAAAAGAAACAAGACAAAGTACTTCATCTAAAAACAACTATGTAAATACATAGCATTTAGTGTTGTGTTGGAATATAAAATTTAAATCTTAAAATTCAAATCTTTAAAAAGCACAGTGAAAACATTTTCTGAGCCATAGGTTTCAGATTTACTGAAAGAATAATGGTATTTCTGAAATTTTATTTTCTATTAGCCAAAGGTTTTAGGTTTACTAAAAGCATAATTATATTTCTAAAATTTATTTTGGGTAATCTAATTTTGGACTTTTCAGTCATGAAATATGAAGAAAATTTTTTAAAAATCATAATAACTTATCTCTAAATTTCAGAATATACATGTTGTCAGTTGGGAGGGAAAACTAATTTTTACTATATTGCCATTGATATTAATTTAGCAGAAGATCTATCTAAAACATTTAATTCATAGGTATATTTACTTACGAGTCAGAAATCAGGTTAACAAAATAATTTTTAATCAGTATTTTCATTGGTTCCCCAAAATTTGAACATTAGATGACAATGTTTCTAGTTCCAGAAAACTATCATCACTCCTCTTGCACTTACCAGTGTTGTAGTGCTGCTGCATCAGATAACAGTTAGAAGCTTCAAGAAATAGTAACACTATTTCTGTTTTGTCTCAAGTATTAGCAATTTATGGCTTATCTACAGCCTCATTTCTTCTTTTGGCCCAGTTTCATTTTTCTTTAGGTTTTAGGCCCTGAGCTTCTCTAAGCAGCTGCTTCCTGCCCATCTTACATAGTCTTTCTGATAAGCAAGTCATTTTCAGTTTACCATTGGGTTTGGCATTAATAATATTTTTTCCACTTAAAGAATATTACTGGACATACAAGTAGACATAATCATATCTCTGTCTCAGACAGAGATAGATGCAGATAAGCATTTGCTTCATAGTAAATAAATATTAAAATAGACAAGTTTAAATGTTTAATATTCCCATTAATTACATTTTACAAATAAAATAGCAGCTTGTTATTAACTTGGAAATGTTATATTTGTATCAAAACAGTACAAAAACCTAGTCAAGCAGTATACTTGGGACTCTACTTTTTAGATATTCCACTGTACAAAATAGCCATTAAGTGATACAGAGATCTTAGGGGCTGAGAAAGAAAGGTTAAGAAGCAAAATAAATAAGTAAATAAATAAAACAAGCATTTAGAAGCAAGCAACACATGCAGAACAAGCAAGAGATTAGTTTACATGAAGAGGCAACTTACATGGCTGTTGAGAAGAGAGCTTCTGTGAGTGGACAGACCGTCAGACTTTTGCAGCGTCTCAATCGCCATTTCAATCTGATAATAGATGTCATTAAAAAAAAAAGGGCTCAAGACAAGATAGTAATAAAAGGCTCCCCAGAGAATTTTTGATAGACTTTTAAAGTTCAATTTCTTCTTGAATGGTGGCAAATGAATATCTCATCAGAACTGTGTGTCCACCATCTTTCCCCACCCCCAGAGAATAAAATAAAAATATGCACACCAATAATAAGTCCAATTACAAAAGTAAACCTTTTTTTTTAAACATTCTCTAATTATAATCAGAATGGAGACCAGAGGAGCAGGAACCCCAATGGATTTTTCCAGCTCTGAGAAAACATTCTTGACTTCCATAAATCAAGATGTGAGATTGGAAGCTCCCTTTCTAAATTTTCTCCCACCTGAAGAGTATTTAATTTCTGTTCTATTCTCTCGTAAAAGAAAAATTATGGTGCAGATTTTGTTTAATATGCATTAGTATTTTAATGCAAATGTGCAAAGACACCTTCATTAATGTTCAAAAACTATTAAATCTATCCACCACTCTCTTAACCCTGTATTAAAATTTGGAAGTGGAGGGTCATTAGTATGAACAAACATTAAGATGTAATCAGGGTGCCTACATTATGCTTTAGGATGTGGTGGTGAGGAGGAGCTATTATAAATGACAGAAGAAATGGAACATAGAAGAGAAAAATAATTCAGAGCCAAGAAAGAAAAGGGACAACCACAGAAGGTTTTATTCCATGTAATCTCAGCACACGAGCAATCTAACACCTTAATTAAGTAGCAGGTGTCAATGATATAAGATGTGCTCCCAATAACCTCATATTTAGAGATATCTATCCATCAGCTCCTACTATAAAGCATGCACTATAATTTGGTTCTGAACACTCTGTATTTGGTTATGAGGTTATATTAACGATATTAAAGTTAAATAAAAATCACATTATATTATTCAAGAGAGAAAATCCCTATACCTATTTTTATTTTTACCATCTGATCAAATAAATAATTCAATATAAGAAGTTATAAAAATATTTAATCCTTTAAAGTAAAGATAACTTATTTATATTTCCATTGGTTATGGACATTAATGATTCCTTGAAATGTTAATAAACTTCCAACTCCCACCACAAAAAAAGAGAAAGGATGGCAATATCCATATCAAAGTATTTTTTTTTCAAATTTCTTAGTGGTGGAATACTTTATACACAGACATTCAGTCTCAAATATAAATAATTTTCTCCTAAACATGAGACTTAATCGTTTTAATTTTATTTTATATTATTTTCCAAGTGACTGGTTCTTATTCTTATACTTTTATTAATTCATAAGATATAAATAATACTATGTCTTATTCTATTGTTAACATTTTTTAGATCACAAAATTAAGTAAACTGGTTCTAAAACATTTCTCTCTGCCAAATGGGATGTTAATGCAGTTTATCATTAATACTTGAGAATAACCTGAAGTGATATTGTGCAAGTGAAACACGATACAATACAGAAAGAGTAACAGAAATTTAATGAGTAAACAAACATTTCACTGAAATGTTATACTGTAAAATTATAAAGGAGCTCTTAAAAGGGCATCAATAAATGCTCTTCTTTTAAAAGAGAAAACATTTTTTAAAAGCTGAAATAACTTTCAATCACTTCTAGGAAGCATTTGCTCAAAAGTTTAATTTGCCAAAATACCTACAGTTTCATTAGAGTTTGAGGGAGAAAATTTTGAGGTTAGAGTTCAGTGTACTAAATAAAAATAATATGATCTGTATCGTTTAATTTTATACATTTAGATGAAAGGTCAAAACTATCAGGAATGTAATAGCTGAGCAAGAATGAGGGAGAAATCCATGCCTGGGTTTATTAATCAGTAATTTAAAATTGGATAAAAGAGCACTTATTTTTCTGAAGAAAAGAAGAAAAGTTAGATGATCTGCTTCTATTGCTACGTTGCTACTCTACAGTGATCTCAGACTTCCAGACATTCCCGAGAGGGCCAGGGTATTAGGAAGTGTTCCTCTCATTTTGGGCCAGCTTTTGAAGAGCTTTGAAGGAGTCATAAAGTCCAGAAAATGCCTTGGTTCAAACTGGGCTCCCTAGAGATATGCCGACTTTCTAGAATTATTTGGACCTTGAGAATTTTAGTTCCTTTTGTCCCTTTGTAATACAGAATTAAAAAATGGACTCTTTCTGCCGTAGCTCAGTGGTTGAGCATAGACTTATGAACCAGGAGGTCACGGCTAGATTCCTGGTCAGGGCACATGCCTGGGTTGTGGGCTTAATCTCCAGTGTGGGGTGTGCAGGAGGCAGCCGATCAATGATTCTTTCTGATCATTGATGTTTCCACCTTGCCCTTATCTCCCTCTCTGAAATCAATAAAAATATATATTTTTTTAAAATGAACTATTTCTTTTGGCTGTAGAAATATTCTGCCCTGACTTAGGCCCATGCTGAGTTTGGAGAGGCAAGCAACAGAAGGAGGAAACATGGGAAGATAGGACAAGCAAGAAATAAAGGTTGATTGAAGCAGAGGACCAGCTTCTGAGCAAGTGCACTGGAACCCACTTGGAAGCGCACAGGATCCAAATACCCATGAGTTCTCTGAGGCATTAATTAGTCCCAAGAGAAGCCATAACATTTAGTGACCACCTAGCTAAGATAAGAATTACAGAAAAGCATACAAAAAATACATAACATGTATTTATCATATTTATTCAATGAAAACATTGAAGATAATTCTTATCTCATGAAAGGATCATAGCCCTGATCCATTTTTTACAAGATAGGTTTAATTTATTACACAGTGACTGTGCACCCATCATATATTACACAGTGTGCAGGGAATTGTGATAAAAAATTCATAACCCAAGGATATTATAATCTGGCAAGAGATACAGGGTATGGCATATGTATGTACAAATGTGAAATTAAACAAAGCCATATGTGTCAAAAATAAAAGAGTAGTTCAGACATGTAGAAGAAAATGAAAACTTCTTTATTCATTAACTTTTGAGGGAGTCTTAGTCTGCTTCTGAGGATGTGATAGAAATTATGACCCCTCTACTTAGAAAAATGTATTTAAGAACAGTCTACAAAATTTTAGATTCATTTTCTCAGAGTTTATAGACTCCCCAAATTCAGAACTCAATGCTTTAAAAGATGGAGAACTCTCAGAAGTGGGGGTTAGGACACTGTAGAAAGGAAGAATGGACTCAATAAAGCTGGGAGGCAGGAAACACAGTTTGTGAAATGTCGAGGAGTCCAGTTTGTAGGGTGTGATATATGGGAGTGGTGAGAAGTGAGGCTGAAATAACAGGTTGGAATTAGTTATTGGTATGTAGGAGTCAGGAAAGAAGAAATGTCATTAAGGTTTTAAGGGAAGTGTGGGATGTCTGAAAATGTCCATTTTCAGATAAAGTCAGATGGGTTTTATTAGGTATAACAGACCACGCCCTGCCAGTTGAAGGCTAAAATGTGTAAGTCTGAAATGTACCCAATAAATGATTGAATAGAAGCTTTCAGAGGACAAGAGTATGAGAAGAGATTAACATCCATGGGAATGTGTTACGGAAAGTGAGGGCAAAAGAGAAGTTAGAGGAACAATGTAAAATCAGGGAAGAAGAGTAAAAATGAGGCAAATATTTGACATACAGTTATGGAGGATTAATCAGCTGTAATATTCCAAATGGATTATTGGTCTTGTCATAGTTTCATGGGGGCTATCCATATCTATGTATATGAGTAGGGGTTGGATAGAGAGACAGCAAACTATCTAAATAAATCATGATAATGGATTAGGATAAATTTCTACTAGGTCCATTGAAAGTTAAATTAATTTGTTAACTTTTCCATTTTTATGTATTAGATATTTGCATTCAAGCTTCTGGCGATTAAACCAATCTCAAGAAAAAGATGTCAGACTTCAGCATTTTACACCACAAATAAAATAGTGAGACCAGAGTGAACTGGGGAGATCATATGCTTCCAGTTTACGGTAGATCATTCAAAACTTAAGTTCAGTCCTTAGGAAAAACTTAAGAATTCTCCTGGCTAGAAATATACTTAGTACTAAATTACATCCCATAGTACACATAACTTGTCATATTTAAGGTAAGAAATGATAATCAGGTAAGACAGATGAAACATTTGCTTAAAAGTAGGTTCATGGCTCCAAAAGATCACTGGCCCAAATGTTCATCATGATATTCTCATATATCCTCTAAAGAAATGTTTCTAATCTCAACAAAGATATCACTGTAGTTTCATATTATAAAAATGATTCAATTACTAGATTATCAGCTAGTTAGAATTTAAAAGTGATTCAAATTCAAGAAATATGTAGGGTTTTGTTTTGTTTTTGTTTTTCACAATAAAAATAACTTCCCCCACCCCAATATAAAACAACTTACTGACTGGTATGGTGCTTGCTACAATAATGGGAGCTTCATCAGACTAGTAGAATTTCATGAGATTTCATTCCATTTCAATGAACATAAAACCCCATTTGTATACAAGGTGCATTTAGCTCTGTGTGTGAGTGTGTATGTGGAGACAGAGATGAAGAGATAGAGAGAGATGGAGAAATAGAGGGAGGGAGTGAGGGGAGGAGGGAGACAGAAATGTTTGCAAAGATATTTAACAGCCCTGTCAACCAGATTACAACACATCACCACCTAAGTGGTAAGAGGGACACAGTGTATCTATGCATATATAAGGAATGTCTCTTTCACTTTCTCTCCCCCTACATGATTAAAGGGAAGCAGAATGAATTAAATAATTAAGTATTAGTAGAATACATAAGGAGGGAAGGAGAGGAGAATTACTTCTTGCTGATAAGGTTAAAGAGAGAGCACCGGTAAGTAAGGTGGTTCTTTAGTACAGGACTGACAATGCCTGGTATTCCAATAGGGGCACATTGGTGAACATTTTAGGCAGCATGAAGAAAGGCACAGAGACAAGATGGCAGAATGTAAATTCAAGGAAGAGTAAAATTGGCTGAAGGATCAAGTTCCTTTAGGGATAGGTAA